CCTCCCACCGAAAGGAACATTTCAAAACATTATCCAATAGAATCGAGAATCGATCTACACTGAGGCTGGGCATTTTGACAGAATTGTCGTCCTGGTTTTAATTTGAAAAAGCGGCACATCCTTTTCATTAATTTTTGCTTTGGGTTTCACTTTGCAAGAATTTTTCCCTTGCTTGAAGTTTTTTTGGATTTTCCCTTACCCCCACCATCACTTTTCTAATAGTCCGTCCCTAAGAAGTCTTCCCATTCATGTATTCCTTTGTGTTTCCTTCATTCAGTGGCGTCTTGGCTTCATTGCGTAACCACTGTAATTAGGTAGCCTGTGCACAGCCGTCCCCTACCCTCAAAAAAACTCTCTCCCCGAATATAAATATATTTTTTCGAGGGGAGGGGACCGTTGTACAAAAGCCATAATCATAGAGTTACAGTGTTTACGCATGAACAGAATGGAGACTAAAAATCCAGTAAAACGATGTATACACACCCAAACACATAGGTGAATGTTCTATATTCATTTTATTTAGCGTTCGCCACTCTTTCTTACCGACACGTCACGGTCGCTAAGGCGTGGCTGCGGGGATTCCCCTCACCTACTCCTGGGGCTTCTGGGATAGATTATCGAGTCCGCCATCTTGAATTTTCAAGTCGAATTCGTAGAAGCTTTAATGTTTAAATATCGCTGGTTGGTAAGTTTTTCTCTTTTTTGCCATCAGGGAACCCGTTTTATATGAATCTGTTATGCAAGGAATAACCCCTAAACTTAAATTTGCCACTATAACGTCTTAATGTCCTTAAAGAACTCTTGAAAGTCATAGATAACATGAACGCCCCCGCCGAGTCACCTGCAGCCATAGCATGTGCATGCAGGTCAGGTTTTAACAAGTTAACACTGATTCGGTCATGTTGGGCAGACCTCGCACTTTGTTCTGGCTAAAAACGATGTCATGACAAGGTAAAACTGGTGGAAACTGGTTGTGAAATGGGTAGTTTCGAAAACGAAGCACTCGAAAACGAAGACCGAAGCACGAAGCACCCAAATCTCGAAAACGAAGCACCCAAATCTCGAAAACGAAGCACCCAAAACTCGAAAACGAAGCACCCTAGATCGAAAACGAAGCACCCAAAACTCGAAAACGAAGCACCCAAATCTCGAAAACGAAGCACCCAAAACTCGAAAACGAAGCACCCAAAACTCGAAAAAGAAGCACCCTGCTAGATCGAAAACGAAGCACCCAAAAACTCGACACCGGTGTGTCCTTTATAAACACGAGACGAATGCTAATACAGCAGGAATCAAGCACGATAACAAATCGAATGTAGTTCAAATCTACTCAAGTTGTAAATGCATTTCCGCCGCTGCGTGGGAGGCCCAAACTATTTCTAGAATGTTACTGTATTCAGGCGCGGATCCAAACCAGTTTCCACCGTTTTACGAAAATCGGTCAGATTTTTCATAATAAATATATTTTTAATAAATAAAAAACTTTCCAAGTTCCAAGGCTTCATCTGGGGAGAATGGAACTGGCCAACATCCTGTCTGAATGACTCAGAATCTCAAGAAAGGGAACTTTAGGGAGTTAAAATCCAAACCGGATTTCCCGGGGGAGCATGTCCCCGGACTCCCTTAGAAGCATGCGCCCTTGGAGTTCGTTTAGGAAATCGGTCAGTATTTATCCTAGATCCGCGCCTGGTATTGCCAGTAAAAGCCAGTTAAATTCGCAGGCTTGAAGTCGATGACAGAGAGCTTTAGATTATAAGACGAGTACGAGATTTTCTTAGTGCTAAGTGTGCTCGCGCGTGAACCAGCGTCATTTTGGCGGGAAAACGTGGTAGCCGTCGTCATTACGAGTCTTAACGATAATATCGAAGCGGCAAAAACAAGAGAACAAATGTTAGAAGTTTGATAATTTTGCGATCGGGAGGGGGCGTAACCTCCTGCATATCCAATACGTTAGACTCAAGAAAAAGAAGAAAAAAGAAGTCGGTAAAGCGTGGCGTAAGAGTAATACGCGCGAGCCTCACACTCCGTTTTCAGCCTCGTTTCAGACCTTTTGTGTTACTGCTCACGCGTACTTGAATACGCCAAAATCTGCTGACGGACTAGCCTCCCCGCAGACGTCCTTTGGGGTTCGTTTGACAGTTTTGAAGTCTACATAAACATGTATGTGTACCGAAAAATGCATATTAAGGTAAGATGTATCAAGTATAGTGAGACCAATAATAAAATTAATACTGTGTATCCTATCTAGATAAGTTCAGTTAAACAGTTGGCAGGCTCTTATAAAACCTTGGGATGGATTTTGTGGACCTTTGGAGGTGTGGAGGCATCTGCTGCCTCCACCTGATTCAGGTGCTTCGTTTTCGAGTTTTGGGGTCTTCGTTTTCGAGATTTGGGTGCTTCGTTTTCGATCTAGGGCGCTTCGTTTTCAAGATTTAGGGGTCTTCGTTTTCGATCCAGGGTGCTTCGTTTTCGAGTTTTGGGTGCTTCGTTTTTGATCTAGGGTGCTTCGTTTTTGAGTTTTGGGTGCTTCGTTTTCGAGATTTGGGTGCTTTGTTTTTTGAGATTTGAGTGCTTCGTGCTTCGGTCTTCGTTTTCGAGTGCTTCGTTTTCGAAACTACCTTGTGAAATGTGTGTTTACGTGAACAATAACACCGGAATAGAGACTGCATACTACACATGGGCCTTGAAAACTCAGAACTGTTTGAAGGAAGAACAAATGACTCAGGCGAACTCATTTTTAAGATTATGTTCAAAAATGTTTTCTTGGCTTCGAGAGTCAAAATTTTACTTGGCGATCAAAGTGCTTTTACGTGTACTTCTTGATGGGTGTGACTAGTTTTAGTTAATCGTGTAATTGTGTATACAAGTAACTAAGTAATAACTATAAGTGGGGTTGCAGCCACACGCACTAAATGAATAATCTATTAGCAGTAGAAATTTGAAAATGAAATAATACTTGCCACAATAAGCCTGGGAAAGTAATGATGGTGAGATAATTGTAATAAACCGCCACTACAAAGTAAAACCGGGAGCAGTCAGTTATACTTTTATGTTCTCTTGTAAAATAATGCTTCATTCTGTGAACACGATACACTGTACAATGAGGGTCTTGACAAAGTGCGAGCCAGCGAGTCATGCGAGTCATGCGAGTCATCATGTGAGTCATGCGAGTCATCATGTGAACCATGCGAGACAGATGTTAGTTCACAGTCCATTTTCCTTTCTTCGGCTTTTGGCAGCTTTTGGCTATTTGGCACGAGTGTTTGCTATCCTCGCTCTCCTTGCAATATCGTTTTGTTATCTGCCTTTATCTTTTTCATCTTTTGTTAAGGTAAGTTATGTTTTTGTTTTGTTGTCATTAAATTTTGAGGTTTGATGTTTTATTTATTATTCCTTTTTGTCCATCTCAAATGACATTGCATTTGGATCCAGATTTAATGTCAAAACAGAGACTTGGCGGTTGGAATCCTTTGATTTAATACCACTTGTACTTCTTGAGATATCGTTTGTTTCAATTCATAGTCTAATTCAGTGTCCAAATGCATACATTCGGTAAAACACACTTTGGATAGAGCGAAGTCAACATGCATAAACCCAGTCTGCGTGCGTGCGTGCAAAAAAATTTAAAAAAATAAAAAAGTTATTTAGAGCCACTGTAAGGGGATGAACCTTGACTACAGTTTTCGAGTCGTTGCTAGGGACATTATTTCGTGATTAGGATTTCTCACGTGTCATAAGCTGAATTTTAAAGGACTGTTGTTTTGTTAAGTTGTTAAGCTTGTTAAGACGTGCCATTTGTATTTTTAAAACTCCGAGGAGTGCAATAACCTTTGGAATAGATACCTTACTTAGTTACAGAGGCTAGTTTTGTAGTTTGCGTTAAAAAAAGAAAAGTTATTTCATACTGACTCGCATGGCTCGCTTGTTGACTCGCATGGCTCGCATGGCTCGCATATGAACTCGCATGACTCGCTGGCTCGCATATTATACACACTCGTACAATGAAACAGGGGCAAGAAGAGCCTGTGTAGAAGGTGTTTCTGTGTGAGTTTGTTGAGAAAGCTGGACGAGAGCAAAAAGAGTGATAATGACTTGTTCGGAAACGAGCTTCCTATTCAGGCTAGGGCAAAAATGTCTGTTATCTTTAAAATAAAAAAAAAAGTCGCAAGATGAACTGATTTTGTCTTAAGTAGGGTTTGAAGGCCTTAGTCAGTGGACACCCCTACCCAACTTCCCTTTAAGTGCCTCCCACGGGCAGCAAGTGCAAAAAGGCTTCTCTTCTAGCCCCCTTACCAAAATTTTGCCTTTTATTTCCTTGTAGTGCTTTCTATTAATAATAGATAGGTGCCTAGAACTGTAACGTGAAACCATCCATGGATTGAAACATTTCATTAAGAAATAAATTAAGATGTCACTTAAATATAAAAAAAAGGTTTTGTTTACATTGTACTTGACTGTTCTGGGATTAGTTGAGGGAATTTTCATGATTTGGTCGCAAATTCAGTTAAAAAAATAATAGCAATAAAATAGAATAAACAAAAATTAAAAACAAAATGTTTTACCTATAAGTAAAGACTGACAAACCAGATTTCCTCATGTTCTTGTTATTTGTTGGTGAAAATGCTCCATAGTGTTGCTAAAAAAGTTTTGTTTTCTGATTTCAACTGTTATGAAGCAGGAGCCCACAATGACTCCAGTCCCAAAATAGTGAATAGCCAAGGATTAATTCTATGTTATGCAGCCAATCAGTGGGCTATTCACTGATTTGGTAAATACTTAGAAGCACTACACTGAAATTGTCTTTAACACCATAAAATATTGCTTATTGAGCTTTTTTAGATGAAGAAATGTTATTTTTTAAATGAAAGTTCTTAAAAGTTGTTGGCTTAAAATAATTATGTCTTGTGTCTGATCTTGAATAATAAATTTATTCTCATTCAATATTGTTTTGTTCTCTCTTCTTTTTCAGTAATTAAAGACTCACATCCAATAAGTTAATCATGTCTGCTCCTAGTGGTTATAAAGTCTCTGCAGTTGACCTTACAGGTTTTAATGAAAGATGGTTTTGCTCATCATGTGGATTTGTTCCACGACTTGTGGTACAAACAGGGTTATGTGAGCATCTTTATTGTGAAAAATGTCTGGCTGCTGTTTTAAGGTATGGTTTGTACTATTAAAAAGTAGCTATTGACTCACAATTTTCAATGATGATAGTAACAATTAGGAATGATAATAATGATAATAATAAGAAGAATTATTTGAATAAGATGCATTGAATCATTATATGGACTTGAAAATACATGAGAATAGTAAAGTTATTGTAAGAGTCAGGAAGACGAAGTGTACTTGTACAGGTGTATGAAGTTCTCATGTGAATAGAACTAAAACAGAGATGCCAACCTCCAGAGATCTAAATTCTGGGGACTCTCTCTTTTGCACTACCCCCCCATGTCAAGGCCCTCCCCCACCTCATCTGTAAATTGACCCAGCGGCCAAATTATGACATGGGAATGGCTTAGGACATTATATAAAGTCTTACATGAAGTACGTACTATCAAATTCGCATAGGGCCATTTCAGATGTCAAACTTTTCATGTACCGAAATTAATACCTCTTTGGGTCAACCCAAATAATAAAGTTTGACACTTGATTCTGACGTAGAACTTAACATGTGCCGAACCTAGTTTGTGGAGTGAACAAATATCAATTTATAGCTTTAAGAAGGAAATTGACGAAAGTGGTTTGCAATAAATCAGATGCCTTCTATTTCGACTCAATATGAATAGTAGACAAAATTTCTTGAATTAGTAACCATGTAGGAAGATCTTGCTTGTAGCGGGTTTCCTTCTTTTTTGCTCTGTTATGTTCAGGTAAATATTTTTTTATATACTCCCATTGAAACACAGCAATAAAGTACCAGTTTTGTGTGGATATAGACGCTTAAAAGCAAGTTGTATTCAATAAGCTGTTTTATGCTGCCCATGCAGTTTCAATTTAAATTCCCTTGGGAGAATGCTGCTTGGGAAGGTCAAGGGTTGTCACGCTTCTGTCTGTCGGCTGTCGGCTCACAGATGAAATAGTGCTGAAACTACGTTAATATAATTTATGCATCAGGTTCGGCACATGAAAAGTTTAATGTTTAAAACGAAGTCACTCCACAGTCAAAATTCCCATGTAGACCACTCAAACTTAATAATTCCTGGGTTGACCCAAAGTAGATATGTTGAACTTAATTGCTTCAAACGTTGATCTTTTCATGTACTTAATTGTAGGAATTAGGTTCAATACGTGAAAAGTTTCACTTTTGAACTGGGCCTAGGCCTTACATCATTGTAATGATGAAATATCTTTGTCAGTGACTAAAAACGTGCAAAAATGTCCCAGAAACCATACATTGAATACAAAAAATTCGAATTTTGAGGAAAAAATGGGCCAAATTTCAAACTAATTAAAGCACAGAAAAGCTCAAAAGTCCATTTTATCCAAGTAAGAATTATTGTTTCATCAAAGTTAAATTTTATTCTGAGTGCATAAAAGTGAGAATTAAAAAATATATAATTATATATATTCTGTCAATTCTTTCATCCAAGTGAAAAGGTTTCAGTCAAAATCAGCGAGCCTGATATCACTATGCAGTAGGGGTGACTTAATTGCACCCATTTTGACTATTGCAATAGTATTGCGATAGTTGAAACACCATTGCAATAGTATTGCGATAGTGGTGATACTTAGTGGTGAACTTCTTAATTCAAGGAAGATGCTTCAGGAGATCATTTAAAAACTATTGTAACTATCGTTATTTTATGAAACTATTGTGATTATTATCGATAGTTAAACTTGGTATTGATGTATTGCTATCGGAACACTTACAATCGCGAAGCATCGATAGTTCAGATAGGCAATGAAAATTTCCCCAATGATTTTCCAATTTCCCCAATGAAACTGGGGAATGAATAAATATTTTCAATTGGCATGAAGTAGGGCAGACACTTCTTGGCATTTCTGTGTAGGAGGGAAGACAGTTTGCTTGCAAGAATTGTTTTCAAAATCTGACGCTATTGGGAATTGGCAAGGCTCATTTTGTGCAAACACACAAGGACTTTGGAGTTTTTTTGAAGATTAATCACATAAGCCAACATGCATGCTTTTGCAGCTGCCCAAGCCAGGGGAATGTTTTTAATTCCAGTGGTCTGGGGAGTTTTGAATGAAGAAACTCGGTTTTTGCCAAATGAATTGAAATAAATGAGGCGCTCTTATGGGGGTTACGTATATTTGTAGTATGAATTTCAAAACCTGTGATTTTACACGTATTGATTGAGGAGGAAGCCATGTTGCTGGCAGTATTTTACTTTTGTATTTGCTCTGCTCTTTTGTATTTTGTCTGTCACTCTCACAGTTTCAACCTATCTTTGGGTTGTTTGTGACCATTTCTGCTGTCCTATGTCACTGTTTTAAGGTCATGTCGCCTGTCACAATTTTACCCTCTAACATAATTTAGTAAAATCCAACTAGTGGTCTATTATCAATGTTGTGTTCTGATTGGTTGAGCTACTACTAGGCTATATGTTATAGCCCACTAGTAGCAAAAAGGGGGGCTTTTTGGCGGCAAAAAGGGATTTAAGTCTAGCTTTAACTAGCAAAAATTTTTTTATTCTTGATATTTTTGACCAACTAGTTGGATTTTACTAAAACAATATTATTCCTCTCGCCCTCATGGCCTCTGAGTCAATAGCGCATTCGGCCTTTGACTGCATGGGCTATTGACTCAGAGCCCATTTGGGCTCGAGAAATAATTGTTAAATAGCCTCATTAATGCTACAAAGACCCGTGTCAGAAATTTCTGGCTTTTTATCTGAAGGTTTAATTGTTTTAATCAGTGCATAAGAGAGCATGCTTGCTGCTTAGATTGGGAAAATGTTTCAACTGTACGTATTTGCCAATTTTATTTTGAAAAATGCCCTAATAACTGTATTATGATCACTGTTTCAAAAGGAAATGTTTGTAAACATGTGAAATTCAGATGCCAAACGTGTCTAGCATATGTTTTTCATCATAAGTGGAAGTTTGTTTATCAATGAATGGTGAAAGGTGTGAAATTCTGGTCACTTCCCCTGAACATGAGTTGAAGTGATGTTAAGACAGTCCCTCTATTTAATTTCTCGCCCTCCCAGCCATCCCCTGGCCCCCCATAGTAAGTAGATTTGACACTCATCCAAGATGGTAGTCTGCTACACAGCCATTTTTAGTGTCGCTGCTAACGCTCCGGGAGCAGCCTTGCGTGAACAAGATGGCTGCCCTTAACACAATGTCCTCGATCTCGACGATCTTATGAAAAAAAAACTGTGAACAGTCTACCATAATAATTGAAGGTTGTAGGTGTCATGTGAAACTTGTGAAGTGGTAAATCACCCCAAAATTTCAATGTCAATTTGACCTTGGGAAATTGTTTAATGAAAGGTACTTGAATTGTGTGATTTTTCGAAGAATTATGCGATTTTCCTCAAATTGTGCGATTGAATCGTAAGAAAATAGTTTTGAGGCCAATATAAGTGTGAAATATTAACACCATTTTGTTAATATATATCATGATCAGAGGCCCTGCTAAGAGATTAAGGGACCAGTGCTTCAGTTTTAAAGCTACCCTTTCAGTGTGTAAGTGCCAGTTCACCTTTATCCTTTGATGTAAATTTTGTTCTATTTTTTAACCAAAGGGCAAAATGATACCATAGCTAGAATCCAGGGCTCTCATGTTTCATTTCTCTGTTCATATTACAGACAAACAAATCCAGTTTGTGTCAAGTGTGAAAAGCCTCTGCAACACTGTCAGGTTAGTCATGACTGATGTCGACAAGGTATACTCTTGAAGAACTGATTGGTGTGATGAAAATGAAATGAAAGAATAAATATTATTAAAGAACCATTATGTTATAGATAATTTATGGAACTTATGGAATAATGGAGATTATTTCCAGGGCTAATTTTTACCTTGTTTTACTAGTTTTCATCGGAGGAAAGTAATTTAAAATAAAAATTGTTAATTGCTCAGTAGAACTAGGCAATTTGAGAAATTTGCATGTAGTTATAAACAGAATCATTAACTTAGAAAAGCAGGAAGTGGCCCTGGGCAATCAAAATGTGAGAGCTGTTTGCCTGAGGGACAAGCTGGAAGTTTTTCTTTTCTTTTCTTTTCTTTTTTCTCAAGCCCTGTTATTTCAGAACAAAGTATAAACTTTGTTTTATTTTTATGACCAAAGCCAGGAAATGAAATGGAAGGAAAAAGATGCTTTGTATACTTTTGGTACTTACTTGATAGGTTGTTCTTGCTGATTACACTGCTTGTCTTAAAAATAAGTCTATGTTATGTAAGTTCTGACAGCAATATCTTCTCATGGAAATGCGGGATCTATCCTCTTCTGGAATGGTGGCTATTAAGGCTATTTTGTGAGCCATTTGTGTAAATGGAAACCTCCACAATGCAACGACCCTGTTGTCTGGTTCAGCATTTCAAATTATTTCAAAAGAGCTTCTTCTCACAGGTCAGTAGATGGTAGACAGTCATTATTGCTTGTAGACTAGACAACGTTGATGCGAAGGGGCAGATTTGCCCCATTCCTATTAATCTGCATTAAATATTATGTCTCATTGTGTAGTTTGCCTGAAATGGTGCAGACACTTCTCCAAACACTCTTCTCTCAACTGGTAAACATGCACTTTCATTCTTCATTCTTTCCAAAGAAACCTCATTTAATACTGGCTGATCACTTTCAGGTAAACACAATATGTGTTATATCTCTCTCACTTCTGCAGCTAATGCATTTCTTCTTTTGCAAGAATCACACTACCCTATTTAACAACAATGACATGTACGATCTGGTCTGATCTGGTGTTAGGTTATAAATATTTATCATTCATTCTTTTTTACCTTTGAATTTCAATGATGTATACGTATTACACACTCTCCTTAGAGGATCAGGTGTCTTGGGATTGATAACTAATCTTTGTGGAACATGTAAACACAAAGTCACTTTCGTTTTATACTTCTGATTTGGTTAATTTTCTCACCTAGCTCTTCTCATTGTCATCCTAAATTGACTTTGCATAAGGATTGTTTGATTTCGGGATCATTCTTAAATTTCTTCAGTCTTTCGTTGGCCATGTCATAGTTGCTGGGAAGTGATGGGTCTTATTTGCACCAAAGTTGTCCTGACTTAATTATTGTAAATGGGGATTTGTTGAGTTGTGAACTGGACATTCTAATCACTCTTCAGAGCTAGTAGGAGAAGAAATACACTTTCATAATATCCCAGAGCCATTTTGATCCACGCAATCTTAAGCTTTCTTCAAATCTAAGCACGCCATACTCAGGTTTGTTTCCCCCTGTTACAGATCACGGCGACCATTGTGTCAATCCATTATCTGATGTGCCGCTACATAGTTGTCTGCCACCTCTTTGCCCACCCTCCATCGAGTCAAACTCACTGAGATGATTGTCCATGGGGCCCAAATGTTTTGTAAATTTAGTGCTTATTATGATGTGAGAGACTCAGTTCACAAACTTGCCTTGCCTAAGCCTAGGACAGAGCACCTTAGGCGCAGCTTTTCCTATAGCGTTCCCGCCTTGTGGAATTCTCTGCCTCAAGGTCTAAGGGAATGTAACTCCCTGGTGGTTTTCAAAGAGAAGCTTAAAAGTTACTACTCTCGTTTAAGCTCCCACACGACAATTATTTAAGTGATTTAGATTTTAGTACTTTACTTTTATTTAGTATGTACTTTTTAAACTGATGATTTCCCGTGTATAAATAAATGAATGAATGAATCTTTGTCTTTCGCATGTAATTAACCAGCTCAGTGGTAGAGATCTTTCTGGTTCCTGTATTAGTGGGTGCGGTTTTTTCTTCCTCTGTTTCTAAGTTTCCTATTTTCTATGACGCTGCTCGACGCCTGCCTTTGGGATATTATTGTCATTATTACAATTACTTGTCTGGTGTATGTGAGTCTTTGATTCACTTTATCATCGCCTAATGGTTATGCTCTTTTGTTTCTCATGCAAACAATCCTGGCACTAGGTTTTTAGTAAACTTACATGTATGCCAACCACTCTTTGATAAATCACTCTAAAAACTGTAAGTAAATTTGACCACCTCCATTTTCTCTTCTCAAGCATCTACGCATCCTTGGCATTGACTGGCATTTTTTTTAGCTGATTCACGAACGACTCCCTATGGCACAGAAAAATGGGAAGCTTAGCGATGCTTACCTTAGTGTGTCTGTGGTGAATATTTGTTAACAAAGTTGTGCTTCATGTATATGTTGTTGTTGAATTTTATCCTTGGTTTAAATTTTAGTTTCCTTTGTTTTGTGGTATGGTAATTAATGGATGATAATGAGTTTGAAACAAAGGAAAATAAAATTTAAACCGAGTATAAAATGGAACCACAACATACACACCCATTAACTCAGATTTATTCATACCATTTATTCATACTGTCTAATGTGTTCGCCATTTGAATTCATTTGGTCTCGATCTACACACATTTTAGCAGCTAACACAACAGTGTTCACCCAACCAAATTGCTCATCGAAAAAGCACAGTCCATTATACTTCCTTATAATCAGAACCTAGCAGGAATTTTGCCAAACAGGACTTTGTCTTTCCTTGCATGGCATCTAACAGGGATTTAAGCTTCCCTGTAGCATTGTAAAGGTCCTTTTCATCATGCTGCTTTGGGTCTCCACTAAATTTTGATACATTTAGTTTGACAATCTTAATGAAAGCTGCGGTAGCATTTCCTCAAACATTTGATCCAACATGACCTGGGGCTCACTGGAGCTTCCTGTGGCAGGTGTATTACACATATTTCTGGCCCAAGATTTAATTTATTAGTATTCGGTTTATTAGACATAATTTCACCACTGTCCTCTCCTGCTTCACCACCTGGAATGGTTGACGATTCCTTTCCAACAGGGTCATTATCATCAACAACAGTCTGAGTGTTGGAAGCGGAATTCAGATGTAAGCATGAAACCCAATCCTGTACACTGTCAACAGGCATCTTTATGGTCAATATCCCCATGATAAGAATTCTTAATGACAAGGCCATGTTTGTAAGCGAATTGTATTTTTGATTCTTGAGCACACAGTAGTCTCTTTTGAATCATAGAGGTCACAATAATGCTCTTCTCATGACCCACTCTGCTTCTGGCAGTCTATAATAATAATCTCCATAAATTGTGCTGATTTTAGTGGGTATTTTTTACTTGTGCCAGCCCAAATGCTTATGTATCATGCCATAAAAATTTCGATCATTGATGTCCTTGGCATTGATGGCTGTCTGTCGCTGTCTGTATCTTAGTACAGAGTTGTGGGAGCCATTAGCCTGTGATCAGCATAATGTTTGCAGACAGCTTGTTGGACTCTCTACCAGACAATCCTGAGTGCTTGTCCTATTCTGTGTAATGGTAACAATTATTATTGGGATTCTGATTGGGCTAGAGGTCACTTCTGTCTTTAAAAATGGTACCATCTCCCCATGAGCAATTATTATTATTGTTTTAATAATGATAATAATAATAATATTATTATTATTATGTAAATGTTTCACAGTCATTTTAAATAGATTTAACTGTTGGCTTTTATAATAGGGTTTATCATTATTATTATTATTTATTTCTTTATTAATTTTATTTATAGTTTCTAATACTTTTTATTGTAGTTTTTAATAGTTTCTCATGGTTTAGTCACCTTTAACATAAATTTGATATAACAATATTGTAAAGCGCAACCGAATATATTCATATAGAGGTTTGCGCTATATAAATGTAAATTATTATTATTATTATCAGTCATTAAGACTGGAAGGTCTCATTGACAGCAGGCTACTTCTAGTATTAAACCTTGGGTGCCTACTTTTCCTCTACTTAATATTGGTGTGACTAATATCCCTTGTCTAATAATCTTCTAAGGATCCTTGCTGTTCCCAAGAGGCATACTTTCTGTACTTCCTTGGCTATGTTCAGCACCTCTAACTGTTTCCTTAGGCGGCTGATTGACACCATTCCAAGGGTGCCAAAAATCACAGACACGATAGTGACTTCTGTACACTTCCAAATTCTTTTGAGGTCCCCCTCTTCAAATCCTGGTACTTTTCCAATTTTTCTTTTCCTTCTCAGAGGTTCTTGTGTTGAAGGGACACACCGCACATACGATATCTATTATGAGACATTTCCCTTCTCTCTTGTCCATCAGTAGCCTTCGAGAGCATCCGGTTTTTTCGGCTTTAGTTTCACCCGCCGAGAAAAACCGACGTTAATTTTTCGGAGGAAGAGAAGCGACGACCGGAAATACGCTTGATGTTCGCAGGCTAGTCCATCACTGCAATGTCAGGCTTGTTTGCCTCCACTGCCAAATCCAATTATTATTGTTATTATTATTATTATTATCATTATTGCCAACGAGCAGCCTCGCGAAGACGCTGAGAAAAATAATGACTCAGCGAAAGTTTTTGTGTCTTTGAAGCAAAATAATTCGGAAGGGTTCATTGGCGCACCACAAATATAGGTCTGTACGTTGAATATTCGCGGGCTTTAATATGATTTTTTGAGGATTTTAAGTTTGCTTATAAGACAACTAAATTTTACGCAAAATGATTTGTGCGCAACGGACAAAAACACGAACTTCAATATCTCGAAAAATTTGCTGCCTTAAGTCGGGATTTCAAATTCTTTATGCAGTAGAACAGTTTAGTTCACTACTTTCAAAAGACAAATTAAAGCAAGGGGCACACATACACCAAACCCATGATCCGCCTTCCCTGCGCATGTCGAGGGAGAACCGCCGTGCGGTTGCCAGCCAACAGCTCCCATAAGTGTCGTGTGGAGCTGGCACTTAAAGGACTTGTGTCGGCAGGAAAAGGCGCTTTATACACGAGTTTGCCCCAGTCACTGGCCAAAGGCTATGCCATGCTGATGTGTTCCAGTAATGGCGAAACATCTGTCCATGGCTGCCACTGCCCGCGTGATATGGCTGTGCGCATGCGTGAGGTAATGGCCAGGTTGTGGGGTGGTGTATGTGTGCCCCTTGCTTTAATTTACTGGTAACTCGTGATCCACCTTCCCCGTGCATGTCGTGGTAGAACTGCTGTGCGGTTCCCAGCCAACAGCTCCTACATGTGTTGTGTGGAGCTGGCGCTTGATAGACTGAATTGCACTCACCTAGGCAGTGAGGTATTTTTTGAGACGCGGCTTTTCGCTGTTCATTAACCCAACGGCTTTACCATACCGGTGACCCGCAATAAGAGTGAAGCAGCTGTCTGCGTGATATCGCTGTGCGCATGCGTGAAGTACTGGCCCGGCCGTGGGTTGGTGTATGTGTGCCTCTTGCTTTAAGTCTGCACTATTGTCAATACAATCGAATTCTATTTTTGTTCACTCTATTTTTTATCAATTACTGTAATTCATGACATTTCTAAACAAATTCAATAGCACGCGCGTATAGATAAAATCTTTGCTTGTTGGCACTTAGCGATAGCTATAACTAGTTATTATTATGTTCTTGTCAAGTTTTCCTGCTTTTCTCGGGGCGTTATAGGGGAGAAGTTAATTCAGGGACAGTGCTTTCCTTATTATCATCATCATCATCTTTATTAATTTTATTTTTCCATGCATTGTCCTGTGCATCCTGTAATGCTGAGTCCAATCTGTGGACCTATTGCACTAAAGGAAGACGTCAATTTGTTGACAGAACTTGGCGTAGTTGCTAATTCTGGGCATTCAATGATGATTTTGCTGTTGATGTTGTTGTTGTTGTTGTTGTTATTATTATTATTATTATTATAACGATAGTATTTCTTCTCTAAAGGCTAGGTCCAAACCACGATCCTTGGGCACTAGTTAGCTTGCTTTGTCTTGAGAAGGAGAGGCTTGCTGTTGGTCATCACCCTTGGCGGAGATTTTCAGGTCATCTATGTAGAAGAGATGATTCAGCTTGGAAAATACAGTAATGAATGTTTTTGTTGAGTGTCAAGCTAAGGGTAGCAAGGGCAGTACGGAAAAGCAGAGGTGATGAAGAATCTCCTTGAACAAAATGCCACGTTTGAATTCTTTTTGCCTAGGAGAGATTGACCCGCGAGACCTTGGTTGAGATGCAGGGTTGTCTTCCAAGATTTCATATTCCTGGCTTTGAACCTTGTGATAACTGGGCGCACTTAATTGCTTTGTACATTGAAAGTTGTTGTTGTTGTTATTGTTATTATTATTATTGTTATTATTATTATTAGTATCATCATTATTATTATTAATGTAAAACATTGACACTTATTACGAAGATCCATAAAATTTTGCCAAATTTGTAACTATTGCTATTTGTTTTCTCGGAACAGTGGTTTCCTGACAACTTTCTTAGAAGGGAGATTGAATGCAAATTTGTACATTGTAAAAATACAGCTCTAGGATGTGACTGGAGAGGTGAATTAAAAAGTGCTGATGTAAGTACAAATACATCACTCATAATTACGTGTTTTGGTTCAATTTTATCCCTAGCCTGCGTCTCAGACGTAATTTAACCCCAGTTAGTAACGTTTGCGAAACAGCGCTAAGATCCTTGTTCTAGGCCCCCAGCGGACTCAACGAATTACCGGAAGTGGGTTTCGAATTTCGTTTCACCCCGATTGGCAAATCGAAAGTGACGTTTTTAACAGGCCAATCATGGCGCGTACTCAAATCCTGGTTCACAGGTGGGGGGGTTGGCAGAACAAGGATTTCGGTGCTGTTACGCAGACGGACTTAACCAGAGTTTAGTTTCGTCTGTGGCGCAGGCTATTTTATCCCCGGCTTGAATTATATTTTTCTTTGTTTTCAGGTAAGCTAATGCATTTGATGACTTTGAGGCAAAGGAAAATGAAATGTAAACCCTTGATAAAATTAAATCACAAATAGCTAAAACACTTTATTGTGTTATCTAAATGGCAATCAAAACCTAGGAGTCTGAAAAAAAAAATACGAAAAGACAGGACGGGTTGATATAGGCAATGCATTCTGCAGTTTTTAGTAAAACTAACTTTCAACGTGGTACTTTAATTGAATTAAAATGTTAATTATGCAAAAGATTGAAAGGACACTGATCAATACCCACACTACAATGCCCTACGTAACCAACAATAGCTTCTGCAAAATCATGAAACACCCATGTTATTTGTCTTGCAATTGATAGTCTTATTTTTTCTTAAGATCAGTTTTTTCAAGGTGCGAACTGCTGGCGTGAGATTCTTGTGCAAAGCACGCGAGCCTCACACGTCAATAGCGCCAGTCTCTCGCTCCGTTTTTCACCTTCCTTACGTCACTTACGTCTTCTTGACTTACGAAAAATACGGGCTGTTTTACAGTCTATGCCACCGATGTTGGTGGGAGAAACTGTTACATCATGCTTTGTACCCTGAAAGGTGCAATTTGTATTTTCCATTGTCCTAGTTAATCCTCCGAGGGTTGATTTCCAGTGCCGCGAAATTTGTACGTGCGTAAAATTTACGTTCGCAAATAAAATAGAGGCAATGCATAAATGGTCTCTCGTAAGCGTTAAACCTCGCTCAACTTCTCGTTTATGCTCAGCACGTTTTATATTTTATTCACGTGATCAAAATTTACGTGCGTTAGGCTGCGTGCAAACGGACGCAACATTGTTGACCAACAACTCCCAACATTGTTGGATGTTACATGTTGCGTCCGTTTGCACATCCTGCTGCATGTTGTTGGATGTTGTTGCGCAAAGTTTGAAACCGGTCAAACTTTTACCCTCGTGCAAACGGACGCAACATTGTTGGCTTACAACTCCCAACATTGTTGGGAGTTGTTGCGCCCGTTTGCACGTAGCCTTAACGTTCGTAGCCAAAAACGCATCAGTGGAAATCAACCTTAACTGCCATTTTTCCCCTGTGACCATGTCAGCTAATTAAATTCATAGTAGTTTATCAAGCAGTTGTCGACTCCCACAGATACAACGTAGTAAATTTGCTGCTTGTGTCTTTTTCTGTAGCCTGCGAACCGCAGACGTATTTCCGGTCGTCGCTTCTCTCCCTCTCGGAGGGAGAGGAGCGAAGAAGCGACGACTGGAAATACGTCTGCGGTTCGTAGGCTTCTTTTTCTGTGGCTGTATAAAAGTTCTTGTCTGTCTTAGTGATATCAATGAGAGACAATTAAGAAACAATTAACTGAACTAGTTCTATCGACCCAATAAGCTACTCACGAAGCAAGGTTTATAAATTTGTCGGAGTTCGTGCCGCGCGTCTTAGGTTGGGTAGCTGCACTTGCCTAGCAACAAAATGGCGAAAAACAAACCTACAAGCCCGGAAACTGTTACTTACCATCGGCAACAAAAGCCACCCTCAAACATGCTTACCTCGATGCTCCTGTTATCAAAACATACGCCCGTTCCCGGGAGTCCAATGGAATTTTTGACGATTCTTGCTATGCTATTCGCCACTTTTGTACTACCAATACAGGTCAGCCACCGCGTCGTTGTTCCTATGAATATGATTGACGTCAGTCGTATTGATATGGACAAACATTTTCCAAATTAGTCACTCTAGCCGAACATGAAAAATAAGCGGGGGGTGGGGGGCTCAGTTAACCAGAAACGAAGAAATATCTCGAATGAACAGTAATGTAAGTTATTAAATGCGTTAAATTTCATTTAGGTTCATCAACATAGTTGCCCATACATACCTTCACCATGTAGGAATGATGGCTGCACGAATATGGTGCCAGCGATTCAGTTGACACAGCATGAAGAGCGAGAGTGCTCGCACCGTCAAATAGAGTGTGAATACTGTGGTTCCTCAATGATATCTGAAGCATGTCAGGTTAGTGAAACCTTTACTTCAGTAAGTGCAAATCCAAGCAAATTTAATGTTGTCTTAAATGATGTAATCTTACAGTGACCGAAGTAACTGGAAAATGAAAACAAACGTTAAACTGCTTTGCCAAGTTACAGCACAAGGATTCCTGGAGGTCATCCGGAAAGGAATTTATCATTTTAGTAATTAAAAGTTTTAACTTCAATTCTAAAACCATCAATAGGCGGATTGCATGCTTCGAGAGAGAAACGTCGTGAACGAACATAATTTAGGCGACACCGAAGAAAGGATAAAGAGTTTGCAAAACCTGGCCTCTTTCTTTAAGACTCAACGACGCACGGTGGCAGAAACGTCAATTAGCCTTAACATTCTTTGAAAAGTTTCGAGTTTTTCAAAGAGAATGTGTCCGAAACTATTCGGTATATTGGCCTCAAATTTTCACAGAGAACTGAATTTTTATGCTCCTTCAAAATATGTATATATGAATATATAATATATAATAAATAATATTAGCATAAAAGTGTCAGTTATCTGTGAAAATTTTCAGTTATCTGGCAAAAATTGTTAAAGACTCGCGCACAGAGTGAAGGTGTTCCTCGGTGCGCACTGAATGCAACGAACGTGACTGTGGACCTTTAACATTGCCAAGAAAATGCATTGTAGAGGTTGACTATTGTAAATTTAGGAACTATATAAAGTTTAGTAAATATGTGGCAATGATACCCTGCGAGGAGAGGTTTATTTTCGGCATGGCTTTTAGCATTTTCGTTCGTGTTCCTTGTCAGTCGCGTAGTGGGACGTAAACAAACCAAGTACGCAAGTGGCAAGGGACGCGAACGACTTCGTAGATGCTACTAGTCATGCCGGAAAGAAATCACTGGTTGCAGGGAATGGTAATGACAAGCTTTCCTTCAGAGAATAGTGACCGTTTTCAAGCCCGAGAAGTTCAAGGGAGGGCGTATCGTTAGTCGTACTCTCTTTCCGGCCCAACTCAAACACTTTGCTCCTTGTCTTTCTTTTCTTTTCTCTTCTGTTTGTTTTACGCTTATCTTAAATTTTTATCTCTTTCAGGAACATTATCAGAGTTGTCCTAACGTCTCTGTTACATGTGACAGATGTGGAAAAACGGACATACCACGAGGCCAGGTTGGTTTAAAATACTATCTGACTTAAATCACTTGTTATACGACTCCGGTCAAGTCCATTTGTGAAAAGGGAGGCCGGAATATCCATGGCCTGCCTTAGAAGCTGAAACAAACTTTACAGCGGTTTGTCAATGAGAGGTCGTTTCAAAGTTAGGGAAAAGAAGGTATGTTTTGTCTTCTACTAAGTGGCACCTTTGGAGATAATTTTAATTAAAATTTACTGAGAATATATATAGCACAAAATGTTCAAAAAATAAGTGAATGTAGAAAGCCATGTGTTTTTGGTGCAAGTGAAATGATAGCACTCATATTCTTTCGTTTGTTCTCACCTTATTTTCAAGTATTCCTTGAAACGACCTTAGAAATCCCCTAGGAGGGTTTTATCATGGTGAGGGTAGAATGAGGGAAAGATCCCTACAATAAACCTTGGAACTACTTGAGGTACCGGCCCGAGGTGAAGTTTGTGTTATTTTCTCCCTTTCATTCAGTGCAAAATTGCTCGAATAAGTTGTCATGGAAACAAAATGATGTAGGATAGGACAACATATCACACATGTTAGCCGTTGAGGACAAGTTGTTTGAAAGCGCTCTCCTTTTTTAATTCATTATATTTTAGATGCTTTGACGTGTCTCCTCAAATGTTTGGCCCCATTTCTTTTATCTTTTTGGAGCTACTTAATGATGATGATTATTAATGCAACTGTTAAAGTAAGCCGTGTCACAATTTAGGTCTTGTTTGTTTGTTTTTCCGCTAACTCCTCAGTAGCGTTGTTTGTCGAGTAACAACGATTTTAAAATAGAACACCTATTACTCAAGGTTCAAGTAGTTTAACAAAGAGCTCGGTCAAAATATATTCATTAGTAAGAGAATTTATTTGCCAAGAATATATGCTTAATGGAGGTTTTACTTACAGTATTCTTGTTTGTTTGTTTGTTTCGTCATAGCTTTGGCTGCATGTTGACCCAGTTAACGGAGACTGCAACAGAATGTATTGTCCATTTAGAGCTCATGGATGCTCATGCGATGTAAGTTTGATTATCCGTGTTTGCCTTGTGTAAATTTTAAGAAGGGAAGTCTTGCTCTTTGGTGTTTCTTTTAAGTATAGACTTACCTGAGATTGGGCCATGTTAATTGTTTTATTTTGAATTCATGCAGATACCTTGACTGTGCCGGCCACAAGATTTATATGGTCACGTTTTAGTGCCTTAAACTCTAGTTCAGTTGTGTGATGTAAACGTAAGATTAGTTTTACCTGCTATATGAGGGGCAGTCAAATCTGTTAGTCCTTTCCTCTTCTCCTTCTTTGTGCTCAGTTATAACGCAGATAATGCTAACCGCATGTTCACATCAAACAACTAAACTAGACAAAGCACATCTGAGCTGTAGTCTAAACCTTTTGGTTTAAACAAGACAGCTTGTCTTAAAAACTGTATTCTTATGACCATGACTCTGAGAGAAAACCACCTGTATAGATCTTTTAGCTAAAGGAAGAGTTCCTTAACCCATGTTCCTTACCTGGGTCGATTCTTCAAAGCACGGCTAGAGCTATATAACCAAGGTCTGGCTCTACAAGAGGCACTCATCTCTGCTTGGTACTTCTTCTTATCCTACTTCGTATTCAGTCAGTTGTAAAGCCAGGTGAAGGAAATATAGCTCTAGTTGTGTTTCGAGGAAAGCTGGAGAACTGCATAATTTTTCTGACGTTTACTTGCATGATCTTTATGCTTTGAAACGAACAGGAACTGTTGAACCGAGAGTCCTTGGCCAGGCATTTGTCAGAAGATCTTAGTGGACACCTTCTTCTTTTGCCGCGTCTAATAGAGAGTATTCCACAGCAAAGACTTGCAGTTTCTCCTCCTCGAGGTGAAATTAGACAAGACCTCCTTGCAGCGGAAGCTGAAGTCACAGCACACAGCTGGGCTTTAACCACCCATTACAGAAGGCAAGAGAAATTGGTTGCCGATGTAAAAGCCTTAATCGTCGCATCGTCGGAGACTGCACGCGTGATTGAACAAGTGAGTTCAGAACAAAGGCAAGAAAATGCAATGTTAAGGAATAGAATTGAGCGTTTGGAGGAGGAATTTGAGCGCTTGAGGGCGACCGTAGAAGGGCAAGGTTTCTCCCTCAATGCGTTGTGGCGGTTTATTAGGGAATTACTGCGTCTTCCACAATGGTTAATCAGGGGAAGGCTTACTTGAAAATCAGATAGATAGACAGAAATACAGCAGACAGACAGTCAGACAGACAGACAGACAGACAGACAGGCAGTCAGACAGTCAGACAGTCAAAGAGGTAGGTAGACTCACAGAAATATGTAGATGTAAATAGTCTGAGCACAAGAAAGGAGGACGGAAGGGTTGGTGTTAATGGCATGAAAGGCAAAGAAACCAAGAGAAGTTCAGAATGTTTTTAAAATCCTATTTTCGAATTTTGTCACTTTTTTTCTACGCATTTTCAATATTTTGTAGGCCTCAGAAAACGTCTTTAAAAGACTAAAATGTGGCAGCATAAATTGCAACTCGTTATCCTTTGTGTCTTATCTCACTTGCTGCAGCATCTACGTACACTGTATCTAAAGTAACGTAATATTTATCAAATATCTATTGAATCAGCATCCAAGGTTGTTAAATAGTTGGCAAGGTAATTTTTGCTGTGCATCTAATGCTCAGTTGATTGTGTCCTTTGGCAGGGACGATAAGCTTTCAGCCTTGTCCGTTCTCAGTGAGGGACTCTAAAAAATTCAAAGTGATGGTAACAAGAAAGATCTTTGGTCCCTCCTATTCTTTGAGTAGGGTGGATGAAATAGCAGGGGTCTGTTTTAGTGATACCCTGTGTCAGCCATTCAATTACAGCAGTAAGGAATCCTTGTCAAACATGTATCTGACATTAGGAAGCAATGGCGTTTATTTCACATTTCATTTTCTTCTTTTTATCCTTTTCTCTTTCTTTTGTTAATCCGCAACTTTGTAAAAGTTCTTTAAGTGAGCTGTGTCTCTACTGTGCCTCATAAAATATGCAAAATCACATAAAATTCTGTATCGGAAAATCACGTTTCTGTTGCTATGGCAGCAAAATAGATAGCTTAGTCTTTCGATCTTATTTTAACCACGCCCTTCTCTTGTCGTTGTTTTGCGTTTTTGCTGAACAACCCCAGTCCTCAGTTGTATAATGTTTAGTACATAATTTGTGTGTTATTGGGTCTATTTAATATTTAACGGGTAAATTCTATTTGTTGGTGGTGGGTTTTGCTAAACATTGTAGGTATGGGGTTTTGTACAAAATGGTATTTTAATAGAAATCATTAGCGTCTAACTTTTTCACGTACTTTCTTGTTAACATACAGAAACTTATAAGTGTATATTATACATTGATAGAATAGTTACTTATACTAGAGCAACAATTATAACTGCATATTCGTTTTTTAATGCAGTGTGATAATTATTGTAGAATTTTATGTACATTAATGATTTTTTTTTCATTTGATTTGATTTTTTTGATTTTGCTTAAAATTGTAGGTTTGTGATATTATACAAAATGGTATATCAATAGGAAATCGTTAGCGTCTTGACTGTCGTGAATTGTCTAACACATTTTCTTGCTAACATACAGAAATTGATAGAATATTTACTTATCTTAGAGCAACGACTGAAAACTACATATTCCTTTTTTTAAATGCGGTGAGATAATCATTGTAGCATTTTATGTGCATTTTATATGCATTTTAAGTGTATATTATACATTCATTGATAGAATAGTTACTTATACTAGAGCAACAATTATAACTGCATGTTCGTTTTTTAATGCAGTCTGATAATTATTGTAGAATTTTATGTACATTAATGATTTTTTTTTCATTTGATTTGATTTTTTTGATTTTGCTTAAAATTGTAGGTTTGTGATATTATACAAAATGGTATATCAATAGGAAATCGTTAGCGTCTTGACTGTCGTGAATTGTTTTACCCATTTTCTTGCTAACATACAGAAATTGATAGAATATTTACTTATCTTAGAGCAACGACTGAAAACTACATATTCCTTTTTTTAAATGCGGTGAGATAATCATTGTAGCATTTTATGTACAGTAATTTTTTTCAGTTGATTTGTAGGATTTAGGAACTCTGCGTACCGTTTCTACCGACAGCTCCAGTTGCAGTGAGTTTATCATTAGTATGGGTGGATCCCACATATGCTTTTTTAATGTGATAAAACATTAGTTTGATCAATTATCGTGGAAAGACAGGCTGCTATATCCTAGCAAACATATATTCAGACAATTTTGTCTTATTTTTATGTCAACACATTTTTTTATCATTTTCTTAAATCATGCGAATTATACTTTTTCTCATGCATGTCAAGTTGTACACATTTTTTGCATCAAGTTACCCAAGTTACAAAATAGTGGTTCACGATGTTGTAGTTTTTAGTTTATAATTAATTTGGTGGCTTATCTATTAGTAGCAAACATCCTTCTTCGCTCACTTTAAAAAAATAGTGGATCCGCAAGCAATTGTCCACTGCTATTCTGCCCCATTCCAGGTTTATTGTTTTTAGTAGATATAATGTTATTTGAAGTGTCATACATTCGACTGAGGAGAAATTAGTTGCTATAAAACTTTAATAAATTGGTTTTTGTCGTTCGCTTCAAACTTCAATATTATATCTTGCGAATCAATTAAATAGTTTCCTTATAAGAATGTAGGATGTTAAACGTTCTATATTTATTGACTTTGTGGCGAGATGTTTTATCTATATATAAAAAGCCTTCGGCTTGTGATTTACAAGCTTTTCTCGTGTTCTGCCAACATCCCGCGTGGGTTATCACGCTGGCAAACCCATAGAAAGTGTGGTCTATTGCTTAACTAACTGATTTGATTTATTGTTATTTTATTTGATAATATGTTTCCATATAAATTATCGGACAGATAACTATAGCTTTTTTGTGTTCGTTTGATTACCAAAAACTTAGAAGGCGCAATTTATGAATATAAATTTATAGGTTTTAATTAAAATATTTATTATGCTTTTAATTATATACCACTAATATAAGTTCGAACCAACCAGTTGAAAGTGATTACTTTAAAGTATATGATTTGTATTAGACCTTTGATTGTTGTGCTTCTTTAGATAACTTCTCATTGTGTCTCTGGTTGTATTTTAAAAACTGGTTGTCGAGATGGTCAACGGTTGAGTTATTATCTGCATAACAGTAAGTTTGCAGATTTGTTTCAGAAAAAAACAAACAAACAAACAAACAAACAAAAAAGAAAAACAAATCGGTAAATAAAAGGCTAAAAAAGATAACAACTTTATACAGAAGTGAAGGGTGACGACTCAAAAATTCCAATTTTTGAAATCATGAGATTGGTTGGCATTTAAGGAAAATGATGAAAACACCCTTTGGCCAGAAATAAGCTCGTTCGGTAGGGAGATACAGGTACTGTTATGACTCCATACAAATCCCTCTAAAGTGGCTTGCATCGTGACATTGACGATCCATTAGTTAGTTTTTGTGACGTCATCACTTCTCTTCTCTATTAATGAAGCTTTTATTAAAAAGGCTTAAGGAACCGCCGTGGAAACTTCGATGCGTGACTGACTTCTGGAGCTAAGAGGTGTGATGCTCATAGCAAAAGGAGGGTAGCCCCAGGTAAAGTGCTGGGGCGGGGAAAGGTCCAGGACGTTTCCACTGCAGTAAAATAACGCTCAGAAAATCTTGTTGGATTTTCTGCCAGATATTCTCTTCCTGATTATTGTCTAGTTCAAGGGCAGGCAGAGGTAGAGAAAAGTAGAACGTGATTCAATCGGACATGTAAGTGAAGATTGAATTCTGGGTTGTAATTGGTCTTAGTTCGTTTCCTATCAAAAGGAAGTGAATTCCTAAGGATAAGAAAAAAAAAGAACAGTTAATTTACAGTTTTCTTATCGTTGGTGTAATTTTCTTCCATGCTCAGGCAAACTGAGCTACAGATCAGCAAAGGAAATATCTGAAATATGAGTACAAATGTACTATTAGAATTAGTAAACGTAGTCCGTTTGTTCTAATTATTTGTTTCTTTTGTTAATTTCTTTTTTTTTTTCTTTTGGTTTGGTTTGGTTTAGTTCTTTTTTTGTTACAGTATAAAACATGAGTAAACAATCATGAAAAGCGATTTTCGTTTGACCTTGGAATTGTTTCACACAACCATGATATTAACAAGGGAAATAAAGACGTAATTTGATCGGTTAACGAACGGATGGAAACATGGTATAGTTCGGCGAACACATGAGAAAGCTACCGGATTGGAACCAAAAAAAAATCCTTTTGATATTATTCCCATTAATAGCACTGAGATCACACAAAATCGCCTTGTTCCGTCTTAACACTGACTGACGAAAATTAAATGAGCACTGAACCAGACTATCAACGCAAGAATGAATATTTTAATCCTTTTATTTTCAAAGCCAATTATAGGGCATTTGATTTAATTTCAAGTTAAAGTCTATGACCAAAATCCCATGATGTTACCTTTCAGACAACTCGTTTTTAGCATTGTACCTACTTATGTTGCTAGTTGTTCTCTAAATAATACATGTATTGTGATTAATGAAATTTCGTAGAGTTTTTAGTGTTACCAAACTTGGAAATGAAAGGGTTAAAATGTGGGACGCGTTCGATTGGCTGTATTCCTGAATAAACTGTGAAATACTTGTCCACTCATACTTGCACCGTAACATCTTCAACCCCTCTGGCATAAGTAGTTATTTGAATGCAGCTTTCCAGTTGCTTCAAATCGCGCTACTGATGTGTCTTTAGTAGTACTTGTGATATCGTACTTCGGGGATACGACCAGTTAGGAACGCATCCTGTAGGTGAAGAGATCTTAGATATTTTCGCCTCATTATTTCAGTGCTGTTGTTTTACCGTCATGTAATTTAAACGTAGAATTATAAGTATATTCAACAGTCATACAGCACTATCAGCAATTTCATTTTTTTACTATTGCTAAAATACGGTGGTATCAATTCAGCAATGTAAGTCAGAGTTGCGTAGTTAAACTTAAGTTTATTTTCTAGTACTAACAGTGGAAAGTGGCACGAAGCGTTAATAAATGTACATGTACATGCAGCGAAATTATGAACCAGCCTCCTTGTCCCATGGCACTGAGACTTGGTTTTGATCATCTGAGGCTGGAATTCTCTCATACATTTACTTCTT